CATCAACCTATGTGCTCTGGAGTGATTATGCTTCTCTGAAGTGTATGTTATTTACATTAAGAACATGTTTCCTTCATGATTTATCTTGGAATCCTCCTATCTCTTCTACCGTTCTTGTTACGCGTGGCTTGCGAACCTGAGTATGTGAGGCACAATTCCATCCCTTTTTGGAACAGTTCAATCATAGGTCAACTTAATGTCACATGATCAAAGGTCTTTGACTGTGAGCATTTGCTCAAATTGGTCTCTTCTGAGTCTCTTTGATTTTGCGTCAGGAGTTGTTAGAAACTTCATTTTGCCCAACAATGTATAACAAGGTTTTTAATGAAAGGTATGTACCCGTTTTATTCTCATAATTTCATAAGCTGATGATAAAAATACAATGAAGGCTTCATTTTCTTGCATAAATTGCTGTGTGAAATGGGTGCGTCCATTCCTCCTTATTTAAAAGAGTAACAGAATGTATCGCCCATCTGTATAGAGGACTTCAGTATTAAGATACGTAGGTACGTGTTCCTGCCTAGTTCCATTGGAGTAAGTGTGATCGTGTTAATCAAGGCTAAATACAATTAGACCCCATGCTATCAATGTAATCATAAATGCCTCTCCACTCTTACCAACTAGGTGCGGCATATCCTCCGATCAAGAGATGGAGATTGCCGTCTCAGTAGGTACGAGGATGAGCCTACGAACCCAGGTATGGTGATCGTAAGTACCGCTTTGGCCTCTCACATTCAGATGAGCCTTTTTTTCTAATGAACTCATGCCAATACTTAGATCTCCAGACTTATTTACTGCATTAAGAACACATAAGATAATAAATTAAATAGGTCAAGTCAGTTGTCAATCTTTATACCAAGTGCAGGTACCAACATAATTTTTTGTCATTGGGTGGACAAAGGACACTAGCTGCAATGCAGCGATTCATAGATTCAATTGTCCCCAACCGATCCGTGATTTGGCGTCACTCCTTTGGATAAAAAGATCACGATATTTCCATTATTATTAATTAAAAACATCATTTAATTTGACAACAGTTCTGTGTGCGTTTCCCACTGTCTGAAGTTCAGTAAAAATAAGGACTCAATTGTGGTGGCCACATTCTTCATGATGCAGTTACTTCTCAACCAATGAACACCTGCAGATTCGTTTCAGAATCAGCATTGGTGCGCTCTCTCGCGGCTAACACCGAAACCCTAGTTTTCACTTTCACTTTCACTTTTCTCCACCAGTAGCGCTCACCGGTGTGAATCTATCAGAACGAATCTATTCACACGGGTGTAGCGCTCTACTTTCGTTCCGGTTCTCTGATTCGCTCTGAACCATAGAGTACAATAGAGTCGCAATGTACTGGAGCGCCGATGAAGTCAATCCATTAACGGGCCTTTCCGAGCCGCTTGTGCTCCGAAAAGTGTGAACCAAGTGTGAACCCGACGGCACTTATCATCATTGTGGCTTATGGAGAAATCAAGAACTACTTGTGTTTTTTCGACATTGTTAATTCCATCGTCATTAATTTTTGCAAATTTTGCTGCAAACGGGTAGTTAAAGCCATAGTGAATCCATTAATGTATCATACTCTTGAATAATATTCCAAAAAGGAAGTAAATTGAGACTTAAACCAAGTGTAAACCGACAAGCATTTCTTATCACGGCGGCTTACGGGAAAAGCAACGACTGCTTGTGTTTTTTCGACATTTTTTAAGTCAATCGATATTAATTTGTGTAAATTTTGCTATAAATAGATGGTCAAAGCCATAATAAATCCATTCATGTATGTTACTCCTGGATTTTATTCATATAGGGATTTAATTTCTGACTTATACAAAGTGTGAACCAAACCGGCATTTCTAACATGGTGGCTTATGGAGAAATCAACAACACTGCTTGTGTTTTTTCGACGCTTCGGTTTTGCTAGTTCTTCGTACAGCCAGACCTTTAGGTACTTATTCACCCAAAAACGACCTGATATAAACTACAAAAACCCTCAAAAACATTCTTCGGGCAAAAAATCCGGTCAAGGAAATTGACGTGTCACTTCCTTTTAATCAAGTATAAGATAGGCAAAAACCTTTGATGAATTCCCAAGGTCCACTAAGACTAATAATCATCAAAAAGTTCCAAAAAAAATAAATAAAAAACCGATTCTGAGATAAATCCCTCGAATGAACTTGAAATCACAAAATCGGTCGAGGATGTCAACTGAAATTTTCCCCCCTTTAATTATGAGCTCCGCAACAAGCGTGACTCGCTTGTACCTTTTCATACACGAGCCGCACGAATTCATCTCTTCTTCTCTCCTCTCCTTCCGTCCATGGACAGAGGTCCAAAATTTTTCGGATTTACTGACGCGACCGGCGGCGGCTCGGTGCGTAAACATGGGTGGATTACTAAGATTACACATTAGTCAGAGAGAAACACGTACAACCTGTCGACTTAAGTGGGGCTCATTCCGTGAAGGGACTCAACTCCTCCACTATAACAATTCCACTAATAATTTTGCGATTCAGAAATCTCCTCACTTGTCCGGACCTAACGTGTCTGTCGAAATGTCATCCAGTGGTACAGATGTATTTTATACTTAACTGATAGAGTATGAGAACAATTATTACTTACAACCTACTTACCGTCCAAAGGAAATAGTAAGCTCCCTTAAAAAAAAAAATCCATGTTTCAGATGAATCATGTTTCGAAAAAGTCTAACATGTGGTTATGGAAAAATGGGTCGACTGGTGAAATTGCAACCGACTTGAAGCCGACATCAGGGATGATAAGAAGGCACCGATTCACTGAGAGCATCGAGCCGCAGCCGGTCGCGTCAGTAAATCCGAAAAATTTTGGACCTCTGTCCATGGACGGAAGGAGAGGAGAGAAGAAGAGATGAATTCGTGCGGCTCGTGTATGAAAAGGTACAAGCGAGTCACGCTTGTTGCGGAGCTCATAATTAAAGGGGGAAAAATTTCAGTTGACATCCTCGACCGATTTTGTGATTTCAAGTTCATTCGAGGGATTTATCTCAAAATCGGTTTTTTATTTATTTTTGGCAAGGGATTTATTTTTTTTGGAACTTTTTGATGGACACGTCAATTTCCTCGACCGGATTTTTTGCCCGAAGAATGTTTTACCCTTATTACTGGCACCACCCTTCTAGTCATACCACATCTACAAGAGTATTGGGACCGTCTCGCCAGAATTGTTGATTTTTCAGGCTATTTTTTTTACTTTTTGAAAAAAAATTCTCCCTTCATTTACTTGACTTTTTATTTATACTTTCAAAGAGGATGCCACAATCTGAATTCAAAATAATTAGTCCATTCTTAATCAAAACGAGTAAGGTAGTCCAGGCACATAAGCCAAAAAAGAGGCCATAACCTGCAAAAAATCCCCAGTAGCAATGTTTTCAGTAATTCCTATGTAATTTTTGACGCTAAATCCGAATTTCAACTTAGCACCAAAAAATTCAGACCAGAAAGATGTCAAATCTGGCAAAAATTGGCTTTTTTGGCAGATTATGTCCATTAACTTGCGAAAAGTCGATCTGACGACAAAATTAGTTTTTTTCAAAATTAAAGCTCATTAATATTATATTCCTACAAAATTGTTTCTACGCAATTTCTCGCTCAAGGCAAAATTAAACCCACTGGAGGTTGCCAAATTTCTGAAAAAAAGCAGAAATTGGTTTTTCCTTGGCTTTTGACCATTGCTTCTTTTTTCCGTCCTTTTTCGGTATACCTATTGACAAATGAAGTGAAGACAATGGATATTTACAATTAATTACATGTACAAAGTTCAAAAATAAAGAATTAACCGCGTTGCAATGTTGCTAAGATTATGTAAAATTGTTTTTTGGCGGTTATTGACCATTACTCGCTTTATATTCGTTTACTTTTTCATTGATCAGTTTGTAATTTGGTTCGAATGAATCAGAATCAATTAAAGTGAGGTTTATATAATTCATCGTCACAATTTATGTCACAAGAATGAGGTGCACACATGTCAGACAGTATTGCCATTTAATGCGCTCCATTACGGTGCAAAATTTACTATGAATTAATTGGATAATATGCACTTGCGACGAGGGGCACTGAAATAAAATGGATTTATTGTGACAGTACACTGCTAAGTGTTCTAATGACTAAGAAAGGCAATAATGCTCAGGAAAATTAAACGAAATGGGAGTGATATGACGGTATGAAGTTTGTAGTTCAAAAAACTTGGTTCATAAGAAAAACTATCCAAAATTCAATTCCATCAAGTTTTGGGCACAAAGTGACTTTTTTTACTTGCAACTTATTCATCGAGACATTCGAACAAGTCCCATTAAAATCTTAAAATCTGATCTATCGACCCAACTGGACGAAATTTGCCCTCCTAAAAATTTGGCCTACCTGCTACCGTGGACGTCAACAGATTTTATTCATCTAAGCTGCATAGCAGCTAATGCAAGAGGAGGAACATTTTGACGTGGGTGGATCTACACACTTTGAACGAGGGAGGGGTGGAGATAGGTTGGGAATTTTTCTTCCAAAAAATTATCGAAATTTTAAATTGAAGCGTACGTACCTACACTTAAAAAATCCTGACATCAAATGATATAAGATGTTTCGAGGTTTGAAACAGAAAACAGAGTTTGAGTAACTTTTCTGATGTCTTCTTGTAATTTTTGAAAAATTACCATTTGTTTCTCCCTTTCCTGTTCTTTTATTTTTTTTTAGATACATACTGATTTTGTGATAAGATCTCGTAGGCTTGACAGGATTTTTACCCTTTTTTAGGATTTTTAGTGGTTTAATTGAGATGATGAAGAGAGATTTAAAGTAATTGCTAAGAGCCAGGGATGTATCTGACTAAGAATGAAGCTTGGTTTCATTGACAAAATTGATTGGTAAGCAGAACAATAAAGGTCTGATTAAAATGAGGCATTCCAACAACTACTTCTCGTTTGAAATCCATTTAGCTCATGATAAAACATGTATAAGGAAGTGAAAATAGAGTCTCACTTGAACAGAGCCGTGTCTATCAGCAGGTGTGAGATTTCCCAATGCATGGCCTGTTTGTTTGTTGACAAGCCACCGGTCCCGCTGAAAGAAAAGAACAAATAAAAAGAAGATTAATGTTCCAAAAAGTGTACACTGAGTATATAGTTTAAAAGTCAGGTTCCCAGCTTACTTTTAAAATTTTTCAAAAATAATCCATTATTGAGAAAAGTTTCTTTAGACTATGAATGCATGCATCCTTTATCTATCTATGTTGATATCTTGGACAATGTAAAAACGTTATAAAGAGACAAAAAACATGAAGTTTTTGCCGAAATTCGCCTTCAAACATGTCTTAGACAACGGTTTGTTATGTTAAAGGGGTTGCTTTGCCCAGATCATTGTTAATTCCGTGAACAGCAAAGGTGCAAATCTTAAATTCTGAAGGAATGACCAAATTTCAGGTGAGGCTTAGAAACGCCCCGTTTGTGTTACCCCTCCTTAGAACAAAACACACACAAAAAAAAAAATATTTTGAATGTTGTTTGGAATCAACATTTTTCCAAACAGAATGTTTTGTCTGTAATCTTACCTATCCTTCAACAAACTACTTTGCTCCCCAACTAGGTCAATGTATTTACACCGTAAGGTTGTAGTTGGTTTTAATTTCCAACTGCCCGCCCGGCAAGGGAGCAATGTGTACGTTGCTGCAACGTTGCAAGGCAACATTTTTTATGATATTGCTTTGTAAATGTAAAGCAGCAACGTTTAAGCAATGTTTCAGCAATGTTGCCTGACATTATATTTTAGACAATATTTTCAAAACGTCTTTAGAAATGTTTCTGAAACGTTATTAAAAAACCTTTCAATAAATATTTCTTAGATATATTGTGACAACGTTGTTAAACATTATTAGTCAGGGAGAAATACGATTTGACCCGGAACAAATTGCTTAACAAACTTTCCCTATGTAAACGTCATCAGTAGGTCCTCCTGAACAACATACCAAAAGTTTACCACAGTCCGACCCCGGAACACCCCCCAAAATGCCTAAATTTCAAAATGGCGGCCATAATAAGGCCTCTGGGATTTCGGTTTTATAAAATGCGCATATAGTGTCATGTGAGGTATCAATCCCTATGTAATTTTGGTCGTAGAACTCAGATATGAGGTCAGGCAGATGATGTGCTGCAAATCGGAGGTGACACTTTTACACGGTTTCAGGTGTTCCCCTTTCTGTTGTTTCTCAACAGATGATTTTCTCCAATCAATATAGGGGAATGCGCCCTCATACAATGTCGCAAAAATATGTATATGTATATACAAAAATAAAAAAAAAATTAATTGATAGATAATTAAAAAAATAAAAAAAATTACCTAACAATTAAAATATACAAATAAAGATAAAATTAAAAAAAAAATAAAAAAATAATTTAAAAATAAATAGTAAAATAATAAAAATAAATATAAATAATTAGAAAATAATTTAGTACAAAATAAAAATACCAAATAATTATAATATAATATAATAAATAAAATAATAATGATTTTATTTATATAAAATTAATACATTTATTCAATTCTTTTTTAATTTTTTTCCATACTCCTTTTTTTTAAAAACTTGATCTTCCTAATAATATTTTCAGTATCCTCCGTTGTAGAATTATGCACAGAAATGCAAGAATATCATTGCTTTCTATCATTGAACCAGATCTGGGGATGTTTATTAATGCTAAATAACCGACCTCTCTCACGCGAGCGTCCGTGGCTGAGTGGCAGCGACACACGGGCGATCACCGAAGTTCAGCAACGTCGGGCGTAGTTAGTACTTCGATGGGAGCCCGCTTGGGAACCCGGGCGGAGCGCGGCTACTTTCGGACTTAGCGTGAATATCGGGGTGCCTAAGAAACACTTCTCTGCAGTTCACATTGAATTCTAAGAGTAAAAATGTGGAGTACTCCTAAAAGAAATCACCGAAATTTTTTCACCGTATTTTTGCAACATTCCCATTATGTTGCTAAAACACATTGTAGACACATTGCCTATTACGTTCATGCAAGCTGACAAAATAGCACGTTGTGGCAACGTTACCACAACGTTGCCCGAATACGTAAACGGCGAAATTGCAACGATACGTTGCCACAACGTAATTTTGCCGGGCGGGTGAGCATGTATAAACCTGTCACTTAAATGCTTATAAGTAGTTTGCTTGCATGTTCTACACCGATTTGCACTGCTACTGATGATGGCCCCAGGGCCAAAATGTATCTAATCATGGAATAAACCACTTTTGAATACCTGAATCTACGTGGTTCAATCACTCAACCAAATTACAGACAGAATATGTGGTTCCTCAATCCTTGCAAAGAAGGTCAACTGCGGTAACATTAAGAGGAAGTATCAGGCATGAAGAGTCAACTGCTGTGGTAAAACTGAAGTGTTTCTGATGGAATAAAGTAAGTATTTTCTAATGGAAAGCAGTGATGACAAAAAACAACCACTTCTGTGACGGGAATACTGGTCATTGCAGGTAACTAGAGTTTAGACTTTGGACAGAGGATTTCTAATCTTGCCTCCATGCGGTGTTGATACTATTTAATTCTAACATTAGGGGCAAAAATAACTGATTCTACATTGAATGATGGCTTACAATACGCTGTGAGAGTCTTTTAAGATTAAAAGAGAATGAGCCTCCTCACAAGAATTTTTTCCTTATAGAATATAAAAAAGGCATAGGTTTAGAAAATGATAAAAGGCAATTCTGAATTATTACTTACGAGATAAACAAAAAAGCCTTACTTACTAACAACACTATAAACTAAATACATATTTAAGCATTTCTTTGTGCCTCGTCAGGGAAAGGACCCTTATGGGGAAGTGCAAAACGATCGATTTTTTAATTTTTTCATTGCATACATCTCATCTCAAGATGCTGATCAAAAGTCACCATTGCACCAACTTTCTACAGTGCACCGTTTTCGCGCAATAAACCCGGAACGCTTCAATTATACTGTGATAAAAAGTCAGAAATATTCCTCATTTCAGAGTTCATCATTCAGTCTTATCTCAGATTCTGCACGCATTTTTGCTCGACCATCCAAATTGGATTCGTGAAAAGCATAAGGACAGGAAAGTCGGAGAAAAACCGTAAAGTCAATCGGACAAGAGCGGGAGGGAGATAGCCCCAGAAATAGGAAGGCAGGAATAAATAAGAAAACAGACACTCTGTATCTTTTTCCTTATTTACATCAGACTTGTTCTCGAATGCCTTGTTCTTTTGGACTCTTTCTTGCCGAATAATTGAAGCATTCCAGGCATATTGTGGGAAAACGGAGCGTCGTAAAAAGTTGGCTCATAATCACTTTTGATCAGCATCTTGAGGATAATTGACTACATTAAAAATATTAAAAATCGATCGTGGTGCACATTCCCATAAGGAGTGTGCGGGGTCCTTTTGAGACACCACTATCACTCACAACTTGAAGAAAATTTCTTAAAGTTCACAATAACAGGAAAAGTCGTTTTGCCATGGGTTAGGAACAACATAGGATAGAACGATTAAAAACGTAGGTTATATATTGAAAAGAATGATGACCCTGAACTTGTTCATGCAAAATAACTTGACAAAGATGGGGTATCGTTCGGGGCCGTTATTTGGCCGACCCTGAAATTCCTCTGCTCCGCGATTTTTTGGTCATTCGAAGTCTATACAAGGTGGCCCAGACCTACCGTACCAGGCCTTTTTTTCGGTTAATTTGGGTCGCACGAAGTCCAGGATCGCGGGGATGAAGAGGGAATTGACCCCAAGAAATCGGACTTTCATGGTCCCAGAGCCCCCCTGGCTTCCCCTGGGAAGTAAAAGGGGGGTCTGTACTTCAAAAGTCAGGGTTTATGTCGAAATTTTGAAATTATTTCATCGGAATTAGAACGTACGGAAATTTTTAACTTGAATCGGCACCAAGAAATCCAAAATCGGCCCGTTGGGATCCAAAATACCGACCCATAAAGGTGGGGGACAGAGCCCCCTTTCAAAAAAAATCAAGTTCGTTAAATTGACGGGGAGACTGGGAAAAAATGTGTATACATGGGTAATCGACCCCAAGGAATCCAAATTCGAGGGTTCCATTGTCCTCAGACACTTTTCTGATGGGGCACAGGGGGTCTCTGAACTTATAAATTTAACCGGAGTAGAGGTCCTGGGCCCCATCAGTAAAGTCTCTGAGGACAACGGGACCCTCAAATTTGGATTCCTTGGGGTCGATTACACAAGAATACACATTTTTCCGAGTCTCCACGTCAATTTAGCGAACTTGATTTTTTTTGAAAGGGGGCAAGTCAATTTAGCGGACTTGATTTTTTTTTAAAGGGGGCTCTGTCCCCCACCTTCAAGGGTCGGTATTTTGGTGCCGACTCAAGTTAAAAATTTCCGTACATTCTGATACCAATGAAATAATTTCAAAATTTTGACATGAACCCTGACTTTTGAAGTACGAACCCCCTTTTACTTCCCAGGGGGCGCCAGGGGGGCTCTGGGACTATGAAATTCGGATTCCTAGGGGTCAATTCCCTCTTCATCCCTGCGATCCTGGACCGTGTGCAACCCAAATTGACCGAAAAAAAGGCCTGGTACGGAAGGTCTGGGCCACCTTGTATTTTACGGAATGCATCATGGTTGGTCGTCAAGCACCAGCTTATTTCAGGGTCTACCACTGACCTAGACATGGGTCCGAAGGCCAATTTTCGCGAAAAATGCGGGTTTTCTGGCATTCCATGCGCTGTTTTATAATGATCCCCTCGAAGGAGCAAAAAGTCCACCACGTATGAGTAGAATCAAATAAGTTTTGCTCTACCATGTCTCCTGACTTTTTAGCCCTTCAGAATGGAAAAATCTGACCTTTTTTCTTTTCAAATTAGTTCAAAATATTATGCTAAATCAGGTTGTAACATCGCTTTAGGCAGTTTTTGCCATTTAATATCAGAATTTTGGCCCTAAACAGCTGAAATGTCCTGTACCGTAGCCTGTCTCCGACTTAAGTGCGCAACTTCAACGCTTCATAACCATTACGAGGGGGGACCCAAAAAAAACCAGAATTTTGCTGTGACTT